CCCCGCCCCGCCCCGCGCCGCCGCCGCCGGCCCGGCCGCTGTCAGCTCCCTCAGCGACCAAGACGGCCAAGACGCGGCTGAGACGCGGTGTATGCTGAGTCGCTGCGGCCGGAGGCTGCTGCACGTCCTGGGCCTTAGCTTCCCGCTGCTGACCTGCCGGCCGCTTTTCCTCTGGCCTCACCGCCTCATGAAACCGCTGGTCGTGTTCGTCCTCGGCGGTCCCGGGGCCGGCAAGGGGACCCAGTGCGCCCGCATCGTCGAGGTGAGGCCCGGGTAGCTGGCGCGCTCCCTGGGCTTGACCGGACGCCGGGTCGGCTTGTCCCGCAGCGTCGGGCGGTCCGCGCGCCTCCCCCCCCCCCCCCCCCCGCCCCGGCAGCCGCGGACTCAGCGGACTACTAGTCCCGGCGACCATCGCGTCGTCCGCGTGGCGGTGATCGAGGGTTCTGCGGTGCGCTGCCTGTCGGGACTCGTAGTCCACGTCCCCTCGCCGCGGGGGGGGTGGGCAGAAGGGAGGGGGACCGCTTGGGGTCGCTTTGTTCCTGCACCCCTCTCTCCTTAACGTTTTGGGGACCAATTTCATCCGGAGAGTGGGCTGGGAGGGGATCCGGGAGGATCAGCCTTCGGGGACCTCCGGCGCGCCGAGTTCAGTGTGTCACCGGTTATGGGGTGGGTGAAGGCGGCGGGAGCGTGGATTTAGGTTAGAGGCAGTGTGCGCTCGCAGCTGTGTGGAAGGGAGACCGGTTTGTCTACTTGGCTCCTGCCCGCAAGCCCTCTAGAAACGCCAACATCTCAACTAACCTTACCGTGGTCTTAACCCTGGAAAGGAACCTCGGGGGACAGGGTGTTGCTTGAGGTAATAATCTGTGATCTGCCCGGAGCACTTTCCCGCTCTGTCAATGGCAGTACCGGCTCTGAGGCTCAGCCCAGATTCGTGTGGTCGGAAAAGCCGAGGAGCTGAGTCTGAGTTCAAGCTTCAACGTCTGGTCTCGCTGCCAACTCAGGCTTTGTCCTTGGCCAAGTCACTTCCTCTCTCCGAGTCTCAGTTGCGCCCTAGACCATAGGAGGCTGTGCACCCAGATTTAAACTCAATGTAAAATACCTCCCAACTCTAAAATTCTGTTACTTTTTTTTGTTGTTGCTTCACGGCGTGTTAAGGTTACCGGTTCAGTTCTGTTAATTTTCGAATAGATAACGTGGTTAGTGACACTGTGAGGAGTAAGGCTTATTGAAGAATCTGGGGAATGATGTTGGGAGTGAAGAAAAACAGAGGGTATCTAGAAACAAGAGACGACCGGCAGAGCTGTAAAACACCCAAACAATCCCTGTGAAACTCGGTGACCACAAAAGTTTTGACCCAGAACTTCTAAAATATTTCCCTCCTCTTTTCCAGAATATGGCTTATATTAGCTTTGGGCGTTCACTTCTCTCCTCTGTGTTCATACAATCCACTCCTGTCCTATATTTTATTCTCTAAAGAACATCTCTAAAGAAGATCGAATGGTAACATCTACTTCATTATGTTTTACAGCTGTCTTTATAATTATTGATCATTTTTAGAAATAAAGGTGGAACTATTTCAACCAAAAACATATTTTCTCCTTTTTTTTTAAGATTTTTTTTTTTTTTTTGAGAGGGAGAGAAAACACGTGAGTGGGGGAGGGGCAGAGAGAGACTTCCAAGCAGTTTTGGTGGTGTGAGCACAGAGCCTCAGGCAGGGCCTGATCCCACAAATCATGAAATCATGACCTGAGCTGAAATCCTGTCCCATGCTTAATGGACTGAGCCACCTAAGTGCTCCCTCCCTATTTTTGTTGGTTCTTTTAACTTTTTAAGACTAGTGGCGATTGGATGATTTCAGGTTTGGGTTTTTTGTTTTTTAAATATATGAAATGATTCTTACATGTATATAGCATGATAGGGGAAGGAGAAAAGACTTCAGAACCAGACACATACGGTTTCAAACCCTTTGTCATTTACTATTTCTTCTCTTCTCTTTCAAGATTTTTAAGTAATGTCTACACCCCACGCGGAACTCGAACTCTCACAACCCAGAGATCAGGAGTTGCCTGCTCTGTCTGCTTTACCAACTGAGCCAGCAGCCAGGTGTCCCCCCCTCCTTCCCCCCTCCCCCCCCCCCCCCGGAAGTTGTTACTTTTGGCTGGCCCTCCTCTGTGAATAGAGAGGAATAATACATATCTGGTATGGTATTTCCAGATATTAAATGAGGTAAAATATCTGGCACACATAGATGTAAATAATTTTTTTCTACATTTTGACTTCCCGTTTATAATTTATGAGATTGGTTATTTTTACTTTGAAATAGTATTACTTTAAAAATTGGCTTACGGCTGCTATATTTGAATGCATTTAAATATTTTGTTTCTGAATCATAACGTGGCTTTAAACATCCACATCCAAGCTAATAATAGTCAAATTACTCCACTGCTTTAAAAATAATCTACACATTCTGTAACTGGTATTTATTCTTTACTCTGTTCAGTAATGGCTAATAATATTTTAAACCTATTAATTATCAACTATAAATTTTCATAATTAAATGTTTCATAATATATTATTTTTTAATATTTTGGCAATTATATGAGCTTAAATTGTTTTAAACTGTCATCTTCTTTCATGAAAATAGTTGCCATTGATTCCAGTTGCCGTAAACAATTAAGCTGATTTCTGCAAATTCCAAATAGTTTATAATTTAGCAATTGCTGTCTCCTAGCTGACTAAATTAAACAATGGAATGTCTAATGAGAATTAAGGCAGAGGGCTTTTCTTTTCCTCTTTGTCTTTTGTATTTTGACCCAGTATTTTATTTCATAGGCAAACATAAGCTGAATCCTAAACAATTGTAATTTTGGGGACTAAGTTTTTTTCTGCAAGGAAAGATTATACAAGTCAAGGTTAAATTCTCTATCTGTGATGCCAGTGCTAATTTAGCTCACAGGGTACCTGAAATGTGGCTGAAATACAATTTGAGGGGGTGAGTAATTATGTTGATTTCCAACTCAGGCTGCCAGAAGTACCTTTTTAGGTCTGGCTGCAGAATCAGAATTATCTGGCCCTCCAGTGTCCTGGGGCATCACAGTTAGTGATCCAGGCTGTAACTGGAGGGAAGCTGGTATATATGTATGTATGTATGTATGTATGTATAATTTATTTATTACCTATCTGTCTCTTTCTTTTCTACCTCCTTTCCTCCCCCTCTTCCTTTCTTCTCTTCTTTCCTTCCTTTTTTCCAAACTTCCTTCCTTCCTTCCTTGAGGTGAATTCTATCTCTACTACTTATGCTCCCAGACCTTGAGGGAAGAAAAGGCAAATCTGATACAGTATCCTCTGAAAGTGTTCTGAACTGAGAAGGAATGATCTGAGGGAGATTTAGGGGTTGACTTTGCCCATTTATTTGTACTGGTCTTCGTCAGTTTTATTTATTTATTTGTTTTTTATTTAAGTTTATTTATTTATTTTTGAGAGAGAGAGAGAGAGAGAGAGAGCACATGTGTGAGCAGGGGAGGGGCAGGGAGAGAGAGAGAATCCCAAGCAGGTTTTGTGTTGTGCTGACACTTAACTGACTGAGCCATCCAGGCATCCCTGTTTGATTTTCTAATTGTTTCTAACTCTGTGTCCTCTTGTACTCTATTTGTTTTTGAAAATTGGCTGTTTTCTAAATCATGCAATCCTTTCAGGGATACTTCTCCTTTTTTAATTTTTAAAATTAAGCTTTACTTATATTGCTTTGACCCAAGAAAAATTATGATGCCATAACCTAAATTTGTCTTTCAAAATAACCCCAATTTTGCATGTGTTAGCCGGAAGGGATATTTTAACCTCTCTTTTAAAGGTGGTGGACATTTTGCTTACATAAACAAATTATGCTAACGCTTATCTCCATGCCAAATTGCTTTCTGTAGTACCCTAAAAGGATTCTTATCATTTTCTGTTTTATAACTTTCTCCTGACCTGTATGGGGGAACTTATACTTTGTATGGTCCTCTTACCTACTATACTTAGAAATTTGGGGACGGTATTAAATTTAAACATGTAGAAATCAGAAAGTCGATTTTATTTATCTTTGTGTTTCCAGTGTGGAACATTGTGCTTGGCACTTAGTAAGGGCTTAATAAGTATTTGGTGGGGGGCGGGGGGAATGTTTTTTGAATCCCTTTTAGAGGACACTAATTTGTCCTAAGATGTAAAAAGTTTTAAGAATTTGGTCTTTAGAGGGCGCCCAAGTAGCAGTTAGCTCTCCCAATTTCAGGTTAGAAGTGCTTGAGTGAGACCTAACCCTGTCATATAAATATTTCTTATGTAACACTTCTGCTTACTCTCAGTGAATAAATGGTATGGTTGTGAAAATCTGCTGAGTATTCTAAAATATCCAGGCTCCTAATTCCAAATCCCCAAAGATTACCTCTCATAGAAGAATGATGATAGGATGATCCACTGGACATTAAGCTTGTTTAAGAATAGGCCTTTCTCTCCTTTTGGTGGGATAGGGTAGAGTAAGAGATAGGTTTTTTGTTTTTCTGGTTTTTTTTTTTTAGCATTTTTTTTTTCAACGTTTATTTATTTCTGGGACAGAGAGAGACACAGCATGAACAGGGGAGGGGCAGAGAGAGAGGGAGACACAGAATCGGAAACAGGCTCCAGGCTCTGAGCCATCAGCCCAGAGCCCGACGCGGGGCTCGAGCTCACGGACCGCGAGATCGTGACCTGGCTGAAGTCGGACGCTTAACCGACTGCGCCACCCAGGCGCCCCTGGTTTTTTTTTTTAAAGAAAGTTTAAATCATCTATAAAAGACATACTCCACAGTATTCTTGACTCTTCTGAAGCACCACCTTTTTATTAAAGGTGGTTGTAACTTAGAATTTTTTTTTTTTTTAATGAGAACTTGGAGGAGGGGAGAATATATTGAGATATTACTGTCATTACTTTTCAAAACTTCCTTTTTTCCTCCTGCTTTGGTTTTCAGTTATAAAGACAATACTTACTTGGATGGGAAGAGTTAAATCTCCTCTAATTCTGATGTCACTCATATTCGCTGTCTAGTATTAACTGCTTCCCCATCTCTCTCAATATTCTTAGAAATAAAAATACCAATATATGTTTTTTACCTCTAGATGGGATTTTTCTATTTTCTGCTGAATGTATCATGGATACATTTCAGGTCTTTACATATCTTTCAGGTCTTTACATATAGATTTAACCCATTCTTATTAGTAGCTGTAGAATATTCCATAAAATACATGTTC